GAAGAACGTGATTTCCATTTTCTAATTTTTGAAAACCATTTTTCAAAATGCCAAAAAGAACACGTTTTCAAAAATCTCAAAATGGACACTCAAAACACAAAACTCAAAATAAATTCAAAACACAAAACACAAAACTGAAACACAAAGAGAACGGCCCCTTAGTATTTGTGACTCAAAAGTAAGTTTTAAAAATTTGGGGTTATCATTGCAATTAATTCTTTAGTTTCTCTTTTCTTTTCTTTTTGTTTCAATTGAATGGAGGGTAAAATCGTCAAAAAGTTGTGAAAAGGACGTTCAGCGCACAAAAAGTGGAAGGTAAGGGCATAAATGCCAAGAAATGAAAGGTAGGGACGGTTTCCGAAATCCACCCCAAAGGTAGGGACATTTTGTGCTAATTAGCCAAGATTTAATTCTCCTTATTTATTAAAAACCTAGTTAGAACAGTGCACATCCACTGCAGCTAGGTTCATTACCAATACAACTGAGAAGACTTTGAAACCAAAAAGTTGACAGGACCAAATTGCCAATGCAAGTCATAGATGTAAGTGGGATCTTATTTTTTCCATTTTTAAGCCAGTGCACGTGCCAGGCAGGGTTGACTGGCCATTCAGGGCACAAGATTCCACTTCCTCGTCAGATCAGAAAGGCACAGATATAAATGTACATGAAGAAAGAAAAAGTAGAGATCATACCCAGGTTTAACATTGCCACTGAGAACAAGATAGGGTGTCTTCAATTGAGCTTGAGCCTCCCTCATTCTCTCCACAGAAAGTGATGGTGTATCTGCATTTTTCATCTGCTTTATCTTCAGCTCCTCGTGGTATTGCCGAATGCGCTTTTCTTGTTTCATTTTTCCAGGCCCCTTTCCATGGAATTTGTGTGAGAGCAGACGAAAGGCTTCTTTTGGTGTCAACTGTGCAGAGGAAAAGCAGAACTCCATCAAAACTAAAATTTATCATTCACATACTTCCTTTAAATTCCACTGCTATTAAGTGATTTGATGTTATGGATGACAGGATGGAATTCAACAAAAAAAAGAATTTTAAACCTCACCACTGGGTTAGGAGACACGTGTCAAAATCTCTGACAAACTGAGTTACAAAAATTCTTTATCCTAAAAGATGTCAAAATCTAACCTAGTTATATCCAATACTTCAACAAGGTGCGGATATATTGGTCAACTTTAACAATTACATATCAAACAGTACCATTTATTTCAAAAAGTATGGCATATCTAAAACCTAATTTAACCAGTCATTCTACTAGTAAATTTTTCCTGGCTAAAATGAAAATAGTCTCCGGCAAACCATTTTATTAAATATGGGCATTTAGTCCTGCAGAATGACTAGTGCCCTTTCATCAAAATGCCTTCGAGAAAAATTGCCAAGGAAGCCTAAAGTGTCGAAATGGACAAGAAACTCTTATCAACTTTGTCTAGTTTGACGAGAATGCCTAGAAGCTTCGAAATTCGAGCAAAAAGGAAGAGAGAATGTTTAAGGGGAATATAAATTCTTGTCAACTTCGCATATTTTGATGAGATCATCTAGATGTTTTGAAAATCATGCAAAAAAGGGAGAGATAGTGTCTAAATAGAACAAATTATTCTCATCAACTTTGTCTAGTTTGCAATAATGCCTAGATGCTTCGAATTCATGTTAAAAAGAGGAGGGAGGATTTGGTAACACTGTTGAAGAGAGAAGGGTATATTCATCAAAAATTCAGAAGATGGACATTATTAAGAAACCCAAAGTAGTGGACACAACTAATTTTCTGTCTGTAAAAGTTTCCTACGGAGGAATTTCCTTCCAAAGCATTAGTCTGTAAATGATGAATTTATGCAACTAAAGAATGTTACGGACGTAAGACTAAATAAATTGAAGAGTAAATGACTCATGTAGTGAAGCCCACTTACAATTCGTCCATACTCATCTGTCCTCTCAATGCGTATTTCCTTCGCTTTATCGTCATCATAAATTCCAACAAGTTTGCTTTTCTTCTTGTCCATATTTCGTCCACCCCATTCAACGGTTTCCTTGAGCGTCCCTCGATCTTTAAGAAGTTTGAGTGCCCCAGCTAGACCCTTTCCAACAGCAGATTCATGAATTGTTTCATCAGGAACGACCTCCTCTTCCTCCTCAGCAGGAGTCTCGTCTTTCATTGTCTCTTCCACCTCTGTCCAACCACCTTCATCTTTTTCCTCCTGATCAGCTGTGCTCGGCGCCACATCTTCATCCATAAAAACATCTTCACTCTCAGGTTTTTGTGCTTCTGCAATAGCAAAAATAAACATTACAAACACGAGAAAATGAAATGTAGAATTCCTCGCTATTTCAGCCACACTAAACATAGAGAGCTTAGAGAGTACTATATAGTGAATGGATATGAAGATGTCTACTTACCCAATGAGAACCAGAAGACACCATAAAATGTATAAAATGCAAATCTACCACATAAACTGACGTGAGAGGTGCAAACAACAGAAAGAGAAAAAGGCATACAAGAGATGCCATCCGATACACCTAACAATTATAGTAGATGAAGGAAAAGACATCCATTTGAAAGAATGTCAAATTAGGGGTATTTTATGACAGCCTAGTTTAACAAAGGGAGTCATAGCTACCATTTGCTGTTAAGTATAGTTAGCATCCAAGAGAGGAATACAAAGCCACGGTGTTTTTATTAGTACAACATTTAATATTTGAGACATCAAGATCAAATAATACACCTCAACATTTTTAATTTATTTTATTGAAGCTCACTATAATCACGATGGTATTAAGTAATAACCAGCCTCTCTGACCCCCCCTCTTCCCAACCCAGAAAAGAAAAACTCAAAAACATAATAAAAGAAATAAAAGAAAAAACTGATTGCAACTAAGAGTATGATTACAACATTGCAAAAGAAATGTAATAGTTCATGGCAATACAAAAACACAGGACTCTCAGAGATTACCTTCATCAAGCTGAAGACCCCAGACAAATTCTTCCATCTCCGTGAAGACAACCTTGTTCTCTTGTGGCTCTCCAGACCCAGAAGTTCGGTTGTCCGCAGTTGAATCATTGGCACTGGAGGTAGCAATTGGGGCTATCAACTGCGGACCAAATTTTTCTTTCTCATCTTGTTTTTTCAATGCTAATTTTCTCGCCCTTTCTAATGATTTCCGGAGCTCATCATCATCATCATCAAACACAGGAGCATCATCTTCTTCTGGCTTCATGGTATGTGTTTTTCCTTGTCGAAGTGCTTTAGACGCCTGGTCTGCTCTAGAATATGCAGACTGGTAAGCATTGCTTCTCATCTCAGCTTCAGATTTCTCTTGTTCCTCCCTAAGATTCCGCCTTCTGCCATCATTTCGAGAACCAAGATCCTCAGCACCCAATCCAGCAGAAATAGCCTCTGCTTCAAGAGCATCTAGGTCCATTTTCTCCTTCTTCCTCAATGATTTCTTTTTCTTGGGCTTTTTAAATTTAAGCATTTCTTCTTGGGTATAATAATCTGTTGAGATCTTCCCAGTTGAATTCAGATCTTCAACATGATTACTTGCAGAAACTCCTTGTAATCTTTTACGAAGCTGGCAATAGATGAAAGACTCGTGTCAATCATAATTCTAGTTGTATTAATGGAAACGAGTACTATACACATCAGCACAAATAACTTGCCTCATCCAGTTTCTTTTCTGCTTCACCAGTAAAATGTCCACTTGCATCAAGAGTTATCCCCTGAAACAAGAATCAAGAAATAAATTCAAAATTTCACAAAAAGACAAGTACGTTCAAATTAAAGTGATAACAAATGAACCTCATCAGCAACCGGATCGTCATATTGGGGAAGTATTTTCTTCTCAGCACCGGGCTCATCATTAAACCTAATATTAAACCATGAAAAGGAGTTAAGCATCTGGGTTTCATGAGAGATTATTAAGAAATCCATGTGGTTAATCTTACTTGTCATCATAAATCCCAGTTTTCTTCTTTGCAGCCTTATAAGCTTCATTCCTCCGCTTTTGCTCTCCCATTTCCACATTTTCAAGCATATCAATCTCTGGTATATACAATGTAATGTCACCTTAGGAAATCTGAGTCCAGAAAATACCCCAAAGGATGAAAAAAAACTAGGGGAGTAAAAAGGCTGAGAAGGGAAAGGAAAACAACATCAACAAGTTACCTTGATTGATATCACCATCAGCAAGTATACTCTGATCTTTGAGTGTCAATACAACCGCCCCACCTTCAAGTACTTTGTCAAGCCCATGAAGAACTTTGACCCCACCTAGGTTTTCTGCTAACAGACGATGAAGTTGAAACTTCAGTCAAATTTGACGTAAATGCTAAATATAAGCCAGTTAAAAAAAGTGAAACTCAGTGGATCTTCCCCCCCGCCCCACAAAAAAAAAAAAAAGAATTCTAATTATTTCAGCCTTCAAGTATTCTCATTGACATACATATCTATTCCCCATCAAATACACAAATTGCATACGAATATCAAAATTATGTAGCTCCATACTGTCAAAATTGTAAATAGATGTCCAGATGGATAATAGGTTAATCCATTAAAATACTTTCAGAAGAAATAATTGCAGCTAACACTTTCTAAAATCAAGAATTAGTGGGATGAAAATGTGTCATCAAATATATGCTGAAATATAGTGTGAAACATTATGAAATGGTTTCTAATATGATTATTAGCTTGTGTGCATGGCTTAAAAAGGGAACATACCAGTGTAATATTGCGGTGCTGCCTCGTCATCACTTTCTCCATTGATGTTATCCTACAGCACATAAGAAAAATTAAAACATAATTTTCAACAAAACTCATCATACATTACATCAAATTGTCATAGAATAAATTTATCTCCTCTTTAGGTATTAAATAAAAATAAACTCTAAATTTAAGACGAAAACCTCCTCCTCAAATATTTTAGATAGCTGCAAGGCTTTCTCTTTTTCAGCATTTCTTTTCTCTCAAGCTTTCTGCTCTTGTCTACCCATGATAAAACGTCAGAACCAGCTTCTGACTTTTTCTTCAATCTTTCTTCCCTTATTCTGCAACGAAATGTAATTAATGATGCTCAACCGCAACAAAATGTCAGAAGACCTATTACTGGATGCATATTGCTCGCAAATTGGAAGCTAATTCTGATTAAATTTATTCTTCTTGGATTAAAGTTGAACTGATACCATTCATATTGTAAATATGTTCCCCTAAGAAATGGTATAGTACAACTTCTCATCCCTTTATATTGAAAATAGCAACTGAATAACTTTGGTAAACCCATTCCAATCTTTACAATATTAGATGTAAATTTTTGAAGTGGAGATGAATTAGCATTTGCTTAAATGCAGTATTTTATGAGGGATTACTAATTTTGACTGAAAAACCATTGTTCTATAACAGAAAGCAACCAAAATACTGATCATCCAGCATATTTTTTAACAAATTAGAAAGTTAAATAGGTTTTCACGTAAAGATAGTCATGGAAATTTTAAAGATTCGTATAGTATTAAAAAATAAAGCAACAATATTTCCATTTATGCGGGATGGGATTGTATATTAAGAATCAAGCAGAAGGAATTTACTCACTTCAAAATGCGGTTCTCCAACTCAGATGCTGGTTGGAGAGATCTAGCACCTTCAGCCTCGGCACTTTGTTTAGACTTGAGAACTTTGGAGTTGTCCTCATCAAAATAATCCATTCCCTCCTGAGTGATATGCTTATCATGAGAATAATTAGTTTCTAATCTTGAGTTACCGTCCTTTTCCAAATCCTTGTTCCGATCACGACTCTCATCCTTATGTTTACGACTACTTCTATCCCTATCCCTTGCCCTTTCCTTGTCTTGGTCTGCCAGCTTTTCTTTCTCCCTAGTTCTCTCCTTCCCCTTCTCTCTCTCAACTGCTTCTTTACCCATGTCCCTGTCCCTGTCATTTTCCCTATCCCTCTCCCTTTCCCTATCTTTGTGCTTTTCTCTCTCCTTTTCTCGCCCCCTCTCTTTTGTCCTTTCCCTATCTTTAGCCTTTTCTCTGCTCTTATCTTTTACCCCCTCTTTATCTCGTACTCTCTCACCATCCTTCTCCAGTACTTTATCTCTCTCCTTCTCCTTCCCCCGGTCCTTACGGTCTTTATCTCTCTCTTTGTCCCTGTTCTTGTCATGATCAGCATCCTTGTCCCATACCTTGTCCCGTGTCTTGTCCTTTCCCCGCTCATCTCTGTCCTCCTTCCTCCTATCCCTACTGGATACTCTCTCTTTCTCTAAATCTTTGTTCTCTTTCTCTGTTTCCTTCAAAATCTCACTCTTTGACTTTTCACGATCTCTACTCCTATGCTCTTTATCCTCTTTCTGACCACTGCTTTTGCTCTTATCTTTGCTACGGTATTTGACTGACTCTCTTAGTTCATCAGATACATTTTCTTCCACATCTTCATATCCTCCACCCCATCTCTCCCTCATAGGTGGGTCATCTTGATCCCTCATCTCAACGCTTCTTTCGCGCCTTGAATCTGCCAAATCTACCCCCATTGCCAGAACAAGCCAAAGAGATATTGAACAGTACAATCTACCTATGTAATCTGAAAGATAAGGGAAATATAAGAGCTAACATTTAAATGATAATAACACAACCATATGGTTTAAAGGTTGCCACTTCTGTCGAAGTCTAACTCTTCAATAGCATTCTAGACTAATATTTCTGATGCAATTATGAACAACGAAAAAGAGAATATGAATAACAGAGAAATTAAAAATACACAAACGTGAATTCTAAAACCTAAACTATACACCAACGAATCCAATCGTCTGTAACCCAGGACCCAATTTCAAACAATCTAATTTCCTTAATAAAATTAACCAAATTATAAATAAAAATCAATCTCTTCACAAACCCTAAAATTCAACTTGTGCATAAAAAAAAAATCTTTAATTTCTCAACTAAACTCTATCGGAACACAATCGTATACCCTCGTTCGAGCACCTAAGCACGGAATCTCAAAAATTCATCAAGTAAATTACCTGCAGTATTGTTTAGATACCTTCAATCGTGCGTATTAACGAACAACAGGAAGTAATTGGGGGAAATTAGGTCAAGTGCGGTTTTGATGCTAAAAAATTGATTAATACACTTGCCATCTTTTTTAACTTTTCCCCGCACGAATTTCCTAAGCACCTGCACATGCGTAATTATTTCCTTAATTATTATTACCTTTATTAATGTGGATTTATCAATTATATTAACAAAAAAAATAAAAAAATAAAATTCATCAACAATAGGAACCGCCCCTAATTTTCCTATTTTTTTCAAGCTGTTTTAATAAAATATTTATATGGCTCAATGTGTAACATCTGAGTCTCAAAATATCATCTGTATATTTGATTATATGATCGAAATAATCCAAGTTGTTAGTAAATAGAATTTTAATAATATTGATTAAAACGTAATTGACATTGGTTTGTTAAATTAAATTCTAGCAATCATATTTGACTTGTCATTCCTTTCAATGTTTAAAGGTTTTCATTTAAAAAGATGCGTTACAAATTTTACAATGAATGCTTCGAAAAAAAAAAAAATTTGTTAGTCAACAACGTGAATGAAAAGTGATATGTTGTGTTATTTTTTAATTTAAATTTATCGTTTTTAAAAAAAAAAATTGTGTCACTTTCAACTTATATGTTATTGTGTTTTTAAAATGAAGTTATATTTTATGTTTAGTTAATATAAGAGAAATGTAGTCATAAATTTCGAAAAACGCACACGTACGCATCTAGTTAATTGCTTCAATGAGAGATTGTGATTTTTTTTTGAAAAAATATTATTTTTTTCACAAACACCTTACATGCGTTAATTTAATTGTTCGAAGTTTTATTTTTCATATGTATTAATATAAAACAAGATTTGAATTCGTTTGTTTAAATTTCAAAAAATGCACACGTATGCATCTAGTTAATTGCTTCAATGACAAACAGTGACTTTTTTTTTTTAAGAAAAGTGATAGAATGCCACTTTTTCATTGAAAAGTGACATAATTTACATTTTTTTTGAGCAAACTCCTTGCATACATCAATGTAATTGATTCAAAATTCTATTTTTCATATGTATCACTACATATTAAAATAGACAAAGTAAAAAAGGCGGACACGCGTCGCTATTTCTAATTGTCGTCAAAAATTCATTCTTCTAAAATATTGTGGCTCAAACACACCCTTAAGCTTCTAAAATATTTACAACATAATATAAAAGAAAACCATTAAATCGTTAATTATATTTAGTTAAGAATACATTTATAACGAAACATTCAATACATTTAATACCAAATGTTCATATGGAAAATCGAAAAGATACAAAAAAACTTAATTCATCTTTCATGTTTATGAATGAATTCCTCTAAAATTTACATGTATTTATTTCCAACATTAAATAGCTAACTAACGTGCAATGCACGTTAACTACACTAGTTAACATAAAATAATGTTTGAATTCGTATGTTCAAAATTTCAAAAACGTACACATATTCATCTAGTCAATTGCTCGAATGAGATACTGTGATTTTTTTTAAAAAGCGATAGAATATCATTTTTTCTTAAAAAAAAAAAAAATGTAACAGAATGTTATTTTTTCACATTCTTCTTGAGCAAATATCTTACATGCATCAATCTAATTGGTTCAAAACTTGCTCATATGTATTAATATAAAACAAGGCTTGGATTCGTTTGTTTAAATTTCAAAAATGCACACATACATCTACTTCACTGCTCCAATAAGCTATTGTGACATTTTTTTAGAATGTCACTTTTTTATAAAAAAAAAATATCAAAATGTCATTTTTTTCACATTCTCCTTGAGCAAATATCTTACATGCATCAATCTAATTGATTCAAAATTTTCTTTTTCATATGTATTAGCATAAAATAAGGTTTGAATTTGTATATTTAAATTTCCAAAAAACGCACACATATACATTTAGTTAATTGCTCAAATGAGATAGTGTGACTTTTTTTTTTTAATAAAAGTGACAATGTCACTTTTTCACATCATCCTTCAACAAACACTTTGTATACAACAATTTAATTGATTCAAAATTTTCTTTTTTCATATGTATTAACATAAAACAATATTTGAATTTGCATGTTCAAATTTTCAAAAATGAACACGTATGCATCTAATTAACCGCTCCAATGAGATAGTGTGATTTTTTTAGGAAAAATGGCATAATGTCTTTTTTATTTTTCACATTTTCATTTTGTCAAACACCTTATATGCATCATTTTAATTGATTCAAGATATAAATTAAGAACAATACGAAGTGTGAAAAATAGTTACCTATATCACCACAATATCAGTAAGAAAATGTGAAATAAACTCAAGTGACAAAGTAATGGAGGAAATATGTAACTTCTAGGAATAGAAAATGGAACATACCAACTAACCAGTTCTTCAGGTACTGAATTGAAGTAACCGGCAACAAGTACTCAAGGGGTGCAACCAATATCTGCTACCAGCTTTTTGAATTTTGCCAAGCACGAAAGCAGAAATTTAGTTTGCGAAACTTGACATCAGCCTATTCCTTTCTTTGATGAATTAAATTTCACCAGAGAGTTATACCTTCGTATAAAAATAGTATCAACGAATTTTGTTTGTGTATTTGTGGAAGATTTCCTCTTTTTCCTTTCAATTTTTCTTTTAATTTTCCAGTTTGGGAAGTTGATTTTTGAGGATTGTCAATGATTTTAGGTTTGAGCGTATATTTTACGTTCAAATATAACAAATTACCATTTAATCCAACTTTATCATGATTTTTCAAAACTGTACCAAAATTAAGGGTATTTGTGTAAGTTCACCCCAAAATTAAGGGCATTTATATAAGTACCCCAAGTAATTGTGTTGCCAAAATCCCCCAACAATGGGCTACATGGTAAGTTATTGTGGGCTTAAAATCTTAATGGCTAATGAAATTTTAAATTCTTTCAAATACTTATTGGGGAACAATACACAAAATCGACATAGAATTACTTTTCAAAACTAACAAATTCGTTTAATTATTTCAAAAATCAGGTGGTAAATATATTTAATAAATATTAAATTATAATATAATATATATTAATTATTTACACCTCATGACACCTCACTCATCCCATCACTCCACTACACCAACCCCTCCATCTCCGGCACCACTTCAACGCCGGTCCGACGACTGCTCCAGTGACGCTCTGACGACTTCTCCGGCGATCACTCCGATGGACACTCGGGCGATTGTTTTGGCGACCGCTTAGACGATTTCAAAATTTTCAAAAAATTGAAAATCACACCCCAACACATGGATCCACCTACAACCACCCCACGCTTGCCTCCACCTCCTAAAAAAATTACCGGGAAAATTGTTGGCGATATTAAGGAGAGTTTATTACCACATGCATCTTAGCATCCCCAAAATACATGACCATTCTCACTCCTCTGCCATATGAAAACCCTGAAACTTTTGTAAGACACCAATGTTCTATATTCTTGCTTACAATTAGTCTCAAGACAATTTCATAAGCTAAATGTAGCAATGTAACTAGACATCCAGTTAAGTGGATTTGCCTTTAGAACTCTAGCATAAAAGATCAAATTCTTCTTCGCAGTGAGCTAGGCTCCTAGGAACTGCAATTTTAGTTGCCTGAATGTTTACAGGAAATGAAACATTAATAAACATGACATGTTAAAAGGAATACATAAATAAAATTCTCAGGACACCTAAAATCTAAACCTCATCTGAACTGAGACTAGCTTGAAAATCTAGAGGTGTCTTCAAAATAGTTCCACCAGATTCTGCTTGAAGAACCCTTTTTCAAAAAGCCACACATTTATTTAACTCCCAAATTCCATTATAGGGAAAAAGTGCACTTTTATTCTGCCGTTATCATTAAAAGAGCTCATACATTATCGCATCCAATTCTAACTGTATAAATACCATGAGAAAACTAGTACAATTGGTCACAACGAGTCACAATTAACCAGTCACAAACGGTCACAAACGATCACAAACGGTCACAATCAGTCACAAACGATCACAATGAACTACCCGATAGTCAAATCGAGATCGGTTATAGATCAGAAAAGGTTCACCAACACCACCAAATCCTGTTGCAGCCTTCTTACTCTGCAGTGGCACCGACTAAGCCTCCACCACCACCACATAAATCCAATCATCCTTTTTCTGCAGCGGCGCCGACGAGCTTGTTTAATTTCAAAAATTAAAAACTTCACGAACGCCATCAACACAACACCACAACAGCTGCTGTTAAACAACTAACAAAAACCATCCCAAAAACTTCGGCGCCACTAGATAAGCCATCACAGTACACCAGGTCGTGCACCAGATCTCGTAACGCCTCTCATCGAACATCGGAGTGAAGGAGAAAAGGTGGGATGCAAGGCTAGATTAACCTGTAAGATCATCATCTTACACAAATTAACATATCTTTGGACCAAAATCATTCATAGAAATGAGATTTGCTAATTTCTCAAAGGCGAGGACAAAAATAAGGTTGATGTAGGTCTTTAGCTCAATGTATGGTGAAAAAAGTGCAATTCATCCTTTTCTTAACACTATTTGTTTTGTTTGTGTGACACTTTTTTCAGAAATTCATCTAATATTCGAGATCCTCTAACAATCAACTCAAATGTTGTCGATAACATATTACCTATCATATGTATTGGAAATATGTTTTGTTTTGGTTTCAAAAATTGAGTGCTCTTTCTACTCCAAATCTTTCACGACTGTTGTAGCGCTATTTGCTATCGCGTTTATTCTTTCCGGAATAATTTAGATTGGTCATCGACTCTTCCTTTTTTCAAACAGAGTATGTTAGTTCGGAAGATGTTTGAGTTGTATTTGGTTCCTAACGGGAGGCATTAGACTCCGTTTGATGTAGACTTTTGAGAATAAATTTTGTGAAGAATGACTTTTTTTTTTAGAAGCAAGAAAATGTATGGTATAAAAATAAGTTTTTCTAAGAATCTCTATCAAACAGGCTCATTTGATGGCCACCATAGGTTAAAACACCAAATAGAGTTGCATTTTACCAGCCTTCTCAACTTAGAAACTAAGAAACTCAAGATACAAATTACATCAAGTGTTACAACCAATTTATTTAAACCTAATGTAATGGGGAAATGGATGATCATAGAAGAATTCTATTTAAAGCACGACTCTTACAATTTGAATGGTCTCCCTTTCTCTTTCAGTCTAAACCCTCGACTAAGTGAGAACTCCGATTTGAAAAATTCCGGCCAATAGTGTTTTCAGTTAAAATCGGTCACCATTGTCGTCGAAGCCTTACTACCTGGTACCCAGAGAGAAGAACCTATCGAAGTAGAGATTCTGATAGCAACCATTCCCTTTATTAGGCTGTCCCACCTTCCTAAAACTCATCGTCTTTGTGTTGTAAACAAGTGGTCTTCCTCTTGTTCTCACAATTATTATTTCTCCGTTATTACCATCGTCATCATCTAAACTTATGTAGCCCGCAACTCGAAAACTATGACGTCCTAGGTTGTACACGTCAATAACGTATTCCTTAATCCATGTCTGATTCTGCTGATCTTTGAGAGTGAACATAGTCATAGTAGATGATTTCTTTGAGTAATTTGCTAAACATAGAAACCCTCTTAACTCGAACAATTCTTCGGTTTCTCTAGTACTTTTAACATCAGTCGAGTGTTCTTCTCGTGGGGCCTCTATGGTTTCAAATTGTTCGTTTTCCAATCCCAACATGAAGATTCTCTTTTTGTCATGAATTCTTCGTCCTTCAACAGCTTTTTCGTAGATCAGCCAATAGACTGCTCCATTAACACTAGCCGAAGCTATTGGATTGTCCTGAATCTTCCAGTTAAGAGTACAATTCGCTAGACTTCTCCAAGATCCTGGAACAGGACCGCCGTCTTGTAGAGTGATTATCTCAAATCCAATGGCCCTGCTTCCACCATCGTGATTAGCCGGTTTGAACAAATGGACGATCTTATACTCATTCGTGGTTCGAAGATATCCCAAGTTGTAACTGATTGATAATTGCGAAGGAAGAGTAAGGTGTACAATTTCACTAGTTGTCGGATTACATACAGCAATTCCCATGAACTTTTCGTAGCACACGAGGTTGTGTCCAAAAATGAAACTGTAACGCTTCCCTACGATATCTCTCGCCAATACTTTTTCAACTCGTCCGGTACAAACATCCATGGTCGATATGTAAAGAGTTCTAGACAATGGCACGCCAAAAAGTGAGGGATGTCCTACGGTGGATTCCTTAACTAGAAGCAACCGTGGATTCTTGATTGATCTGTTATTGTATAATTTCTTGAAATAGGAATCAGAAATGAGATTGAACCATTGGTTTGATACACATTTGAGTTGGCAAAGATGTTTTACAGACAGTTTTGATAATATTTCCCGTAAAACATCCTGCGGCAGATTTTCCATTCTTCAAATGAAATTTCATAGGGTTGGGGATGGAAAGAGAGGGAATGGAAGTTATATTTTCATTTATTTTAGCAATTGTATGATTCGATATATAATGCTTCCCAGTGGAAACTTTGTGTATTTGACTATATTCTCATACGGAAGCGCGACTTTTATTCAAGGTTGAATTAGCTTTTTTCCTCAAGTCTATACTTCAAAATTTATAGGTAATTTTCTCAAGTCACGGGAATGAAATTCCCATAGTTTTTATTCTCCTATAATGTTCTTGTAAATAGTATTGGTGGTCACGCATGTTTAATCACATATAAGAAGTGGTCGATATTCTTGGAGGATAAAACGAGGAGGTTATTTTTTGTGGTTTACTCCAACCTGTATCATGTTTTTTGCCCTTTTTTCAAATAAATACCGTGTTTGCGAGGTTTGGCATTGCTCTTTTGTTTTTTTTTTTCAATTACTTGCTAGTCTTCATTTTATTCTTAGATTGTATACTTTCATGAGAAGAAGTTAGGCTGCATGTCCCTCCTAAGTTTGTATTTTGATTTTAAATAATAAAAAATATCTTATCTATATGGAAAGTTTGAATTAAAAGAGGACTACCTTAAAGAATGACAAAATTATTCATTTAAATTTAGAACATGTCCGAGCCCCAATTTTTATCAAAATACATTTTAGAATAGTGATTTAATAATTTTAGATTTAGAATATATGATTAAAAAATATGAAAAATATTGGATTGCGTGTAATATTATTTTACTGAATAATGTATGATTGAAAATAAAATAAAATAATGTATTTAAAAAAAAAAAGGGCCAAACAGAGACTTAATCTTCAATATAAGTCCAAATGCGTAAGTCAACTTCCAATTTTATTTTGTCATTGACTGATAGAAGTCTTTGTTATAAACCGTCCATGTACTTTCGGTTGGGGACGGTGATGATGTTTTGGTTCCAATTGGAAGAAGATATTTTAGACAACAAAGTCCAAGACTTTGTTTGTTGTACATAGTAATTGGCTTTAATTGTCTACATATGGCCGGTGCATGTATTGCATTTATTAATTTTTTAATTTAATTACTTGTTCTATCAATTTTTCTAGATACACGTAAAATAGAGTTCACATCTATTATTTCTTTAATTGTAGCGTATATCAATTTCTTCTAGATACACGTAAGGTAGAGTTCACATCTATTATTTCTTTAACTATAGCGTATATCAATTTCTTCTTGATATACAGAAATGATCTAATGAGCACCGGTGCTCATCTTATCTTAAGTACCAATGAGTTGGAATATTAATTCATTGGTGGATTGGAACTCACAAAATCTTTATCCACCAATGAATTAATGTGCCAACTCATTGGTTCTTAGAATAAGATGAGCACCGGTGCTCATTAGATCATTTTTGTATATATATATATATGTATATA